AATCACAACACGTGTCCCCAGATTTACAAGCTCAACACTAATTACTAGTTCTGCAGCATAACAATGCTGAATGTGGGAAGAATTGTCTAAATAAACAATAAGCCATTTAATTTTGCTAATTGTAGCAATTAGGCTGGCTCTCCTGAAGCCCATGCTCTCAACAGAAAGCCAAATGGAGTAGTGGCACACAGCCATTTATATGGCAGGGATATTACGCTGTGAAGCCCTCCCTTGACTGTTTCTAGAGAAAAGTCCTAGGTCTTTTCATTACAGCATTGAATTCATTCCTCTTCATTCTGATAAAACAGATGAAGTGCAAAATAATTACAGATAGTTTAAATCTGTGAATTAAAAAAAAAAAAAAAAAAGTAGTAGATTACTGCAATTCACTGCTCATGATTTTTTGAAACACATTTCTCCTTTCTTTTCACTTGGCTGCAGATTACCGAGTGATCTGCATCCAAGAAGACTTCTCACATCTGATATGAGTAGATGATTTCATTACAGGAAAGATGGAGATGACCTAATAAAGCCCTGCTTGCACCAGGTTAGAGAAATGTGTCACTGGTTCACGGATCACTTTCAGAGCTCTTTCAGCATGTGAGCAGTCCACTGAGATTGTTTGAAAGGTTGCTTTAGCACAGTGACCTCACTGCAGGTGTTTGGTAGAATTTCTTCACAAAACCCTTGAGTGAATAATTTCACATACTCTGAGCTTAGTGCTACACTGCGTGAATCAAATCATTTCTTTCTTCCTTAGTTAAAACATTGACTAATATATCCATTTTGACTGAGCTGCTATTTTGTGATCATCTTAAGAATACTTAGAAAAATGTCTATAAAAACCCCACTTGTTTCCAGTGATCCCTATACAAGCCAAATGCTGACCAGTACCTTCACTAAAAGGAACCTTTCTTAAACAGCTTGGCTCCAGCACTTACATTCTGTTCTGAACACTTTGCATCTAATTCTTATGCAGAGAATCATATATGCTCATTAGTAAGCCACGTCCCTACTCTGAATCCTGGAGCAGAAAGGGCCGATAAGCCAGATGCAGGGAAAAAGGCCTCTTCAGCACATTTAGGGGGCGATTTGCATGAGTTAGACATGGAAGAGAGAAGCTTGCATATGATTACAGCAGAGCTATATGCAGTATGAATTGATAGACATTTCCAATTAATTGTGAGGTGGCCAACTAATATTAAGATCAAATCTAAAACTCTACATGCAAAGCACTGTTAAAAAAAAAGCAACAAAACACTTTAAAGCCAACTCAAAACTCTCATTTTCAGGAATAGCTGGGAGAAACTTAGAAATTGAATGGATTTTCCAGTGTAACAAGAAGCTACATTCATAGAAACATAGATATGACTGCTATGGATATAAACATTTTCTCTGTCTGTGGATTGCACTCTCATATTTCATGTATCTTTAGAAGCAGTTGCTTCTAGATCTTACTTCTATGAATGCTGTAGCCCTAGACATGCCAGCAGCTTTTCTACAAGTGGAATCAGTACTTGCATAGGCAAGGCCACATACTGTTCACCCCTAAGCAATTTCCCAACTGTAGAGAAGCTGCTTGTTGAACATCCAGAAGAGCCTTTGCAGAGGTAGCCAAGGCAAGATGCAATCAGAGTTGTGTGCCACAAACCCACTGGGGCAGGGGCTGCATATGGTGCACCAATCCCTGCTCATCCTAGGTGCCAAAGAGTCCGCCCAGAGTAGAACCACATGGAGTACATGGAGGGGTCAACGAGGTAACCGAGGACCTCAGGCTAATGTTGTGATCTTCCAAGCTGCACAAGCCGGGAACTCCTGCATATTTTTTATGTGAAAGGTTCAGGCCTTTTGTTTCTGGCCTTGGTCAGGAGCACCTCAGTCTTCATAGTGCATAGCAGTGCAACTCCTGTCTACGCCTGCCAAGATCCCCCCAAGCTGGTATTCCTCTGTGAATCCTACCTGAAGGGCAGGGTCCTCTGGGTGCTATCAAACAGAGCTTTGCACAGAAATACCCATGACTGATTCTTCTGCATGAGACTTCTGGTAAGCAGAGACTGCAGGGAGAGCCAGGCTCAGTTCTCTCTTCAGCTAACAGTGATCCATATCCCCATATCATATCTACTACCTCTCAGGGGAAGGCTATAGGGCTGCACACTACTGAAGAGGAGGGCATGCTTGCTCTCTCTTGTTCTGAGGTTTTTGTCCCTCGTTGTGAAAGACTACAAGGTTATGCTGTGCAGTGTAGACATATTTTTGATTCACTGCGTCCCCTTAGTGAGGAGGACTCTAAGGTTGCCACACATATCCAGCGCTATTGCACGTGTCCAACCAGAGTAATGTCTACAGTAAAAATCTGGGGCAGATACAAAACAAACCAGACCAAAAGCTGTATGAACATGTTTAGCACTGTGACAAGCCTGAATCTCTGCACACTGCCTTCAGCCTGGTCTGTTAGTGCAGTGTGCTACCCTGGCCACATCCTCTTGGTTTGCTGTGAGAGCTCAGTCAGCGAGCTCAGGTGCATCAGAGCTGTGCCACACAGCCTCAGCCACAGCTTTGTGAGCCCACAGTGCACTCCTTGTGTATACGCTTAGTCCTGAGATTCTATTAGGATTTAATCTTATAGTTCATTTAAATGCTATAACTAAAGAAAAGCATCAGGAATGTCATCATCGTTAAGAGTAATCAAGTGATAACTGCAAAAGAAAAACCACATTATTGAAAAACACACTCTAGTCATTATTGGAGACAGCTTTGAGATGCATTGTGTCAGTAACTTAATGGAAAGTTGTGGAGGAAAAATATTTAGTGCTACATTTAATTAATCATGGTTAGTTGAGGAAAAAAATCATATAGGCAGACAGGAAAGTGATTAGTTTGCCCTTTGTCTCATTTAGTGTTGGCTGTATTTGTTTCACTGAATGAGTGTTATTAGTGTCAGTAGCTTATATTGGAAATAACCTCTAATACTGCGACTGGTTTACTTGACATTTGACTGAAAAGCACAAAAGAAATGCTTGTTGGCCAGCACATGTGCAGTTGTCTGAAACATGCTGTCAGAAATAAGGTTTTGATAATACATGGATTATGTCCTGATGATAAATTTCAAATGCATGTATCTGTAGATGAAACTACCTCTGCCAATTTAAAAGTACCGTGAATATACAGGAGCTATTTCTGAAATTCTAATTACTATTGCTTTTCTGAGTATGCATTCTGCTTTATTATCTGTGTATCCCAGATTGTTTCTTAGTCAATGCTTGATACGAGCTAATTTTAAATTTTGTAAAGCTGAGGAAAAGATTACGAGCCGGTTAACTGAAAGCTTTTGTTTTCATTTGTGTAGTACACTTCTTCTTAAGCTTTAAAAATCTGCAAAGTCCCAGTTCTGTAAACCCCTGGCTAAAAACAAGAACAGTTCAATAACCTTCATGAAAGCCTTGGCTGTGCTGATGTTCAGGTGTAAGTCAGAGCTCCTGACCCAGCCGTCATACAGCATTCAGCTCTGCATTTGGGAAATGTCATAACTTTCCCACAGGATCTGCTTTATAAGACAGATTAGAACTAACCACCATGGACTTAGACAGGCTCAAAAGTGGCCCCCAGCCCTTCCCAGTGTCATTCCACATCCCTGTTTTGGGACACAGGAGCCCATGCAGTGGTGTGTCCCAGAGTGAGCACTGCAGGCATCGGCTCTCACTCTTGGGGAAGGAAAAGTGGGATGCTCCAGGAGATGGCATGTCAGTTCAGACAGGGTTAAGTTCTTGCACCACTGTATGGACAACAAATCTTCTGTTATCAGCAGAAAGGGAAAGTGCTGCTATATGTTGTGTGCCAGCACACAGTCGTGTATCTGTGGCTGCTATTGATTCCTTCTTTCTTTATTCCACTGGAACAACCTGGAGCTTGTCAAGATTTGCTCAGGTTGATTTGCAGCTAATTAATTCAACAGGCATTTTTAATCTTGCAAATTTGCAACTTGTAATACAGTAATCAGGCTCCTGCGAGCGAACATTAATCAGTGAGAGGGGGAAGAAAAGCACTGCCAGCTGCATGCAGTGTGGTGCCTGCACTGCACAGGGACATTCACAAGAAATGCAACATTAGTAAATTCATCCCAACTAAACCCTCATCATTTGTCTTTTGAGTCATTCATCCACTGGATTTGTTTGGCAGAGCCAGAGGTTGTGTTTGGGGAGTGGGGGGGTTGCTGAGCTGAAGAAGCTTTAGGTGCTGCCAGTGTCCTTCTGATCACCCGATTCCTCACCAACCACAGAGTCAACCCAGTTTCATTTCTGAGATGGCCATGCTGGTTGTAGAGCATTCTCCTGGAGAAACACCTGTGTCCCAAAACACATAAACACATTTAGCAACACTAGAAGCCGGATGAATGAGTGGAAAAACTATATTCCTTTATTGCTTTTAGCTTACAGGTAGATTTTAGCTTCTTTGATGTGAAGCAGAAGGGAAAAAAATGGAATGTTTGCCCAGGGTGTACATGTCCATGAGTCAACAACTGATCAGTGTGTATCTTTTATTATGGAAGTGAACCCACTGGTACCCTCAGCAGGGAGGCCAGAGATCAAAAACTCTTGAAAACTAGGAAGTAAAGGATTCCTCTGGGCAGGATCAAAAGGGTTTGTGAAACACTGTGGAAATCTGCCCCGGTTGTTTCAGTGAATAAGGGGAGGAGCAGTCTTATCAGGAAAAAAAATCAACACTTGCACAACCTTAATGCCAATACAGTATTTGTGTTGCAGTTACTCTCTTTGCAACTGAAGATGTTAGCTGAGAACATTCTAGATCTGTTACGAGCTCACTGGAACACAGAGGGAGACACTGTAAGCCACTTCATAGATATTAGCACTGCTATTGGCAATTGTTTACTGGCAATAATATACAGAGGCGTCTCAAACTAGAGCACATGAGGCAAGGATTTGCTATGGCTGTTGTGTCAATGATTGTTAAATCTAGGAATTGTAGATCTTCGTAGTGGTGTGTAGGAAAAAAAATGGCTTTTTAATGCATATTTTTCTTTACAGAGGATAAATGTCAGATGGCTTGCACAAAAACATATCACTTAAATTAGACTCATAAAGTGGGCGTTTCTTTATATGGAATAGGAGAGGCTCGGTGTCATTCAAGTGCTTTGTGCACTTTTTCACTTGGTTTCTCATGCAGTACATGTGAGAATAAGCAAATAGTGGATTCATAAGTTCACATTTCCTTAGTGCAGGTAGTTCTGACATCATCTTGCTCATCTACACATCATGAGCATGTACATGGGGCAGGGAGATGATCACTGGTAAACCAGGTGAAAATAAAGACAGAGATAGTAGATGATGTGGGAAAAGTCTTATTACAATTAGAGAACAGCTGTGAATACATGGAGCAGATGAGCCCTCATGGTATTTCTTCATGCTCAGGTATTCATCACTCAGCTTCTCGTGCACATCACTGCTGAAGGACTTTTAACCACACTATAAGTTGTCAATTTTTGCTTCTTTATAAGTGAGAACAGTAGCACCCTGGCTTGCAGAGGAAATCACTGTGGAGGTGTCCATAACCTTCATGCATGATCTGTAAGTGTAGCACATCGTAACAGTTGTGTTTTCTTCAAATGTTCACTCAAACAAGTTTGCAGGATGTATTAGACATTGTTATGATTTTTTTTCCTTGCTTCCATTTCCTTCCTGTGCTGAAGAGTGTCAATGCAATCCCCACTGCTGAGAGAAGATACCCATGCCCATAATAACCTGAAGTATCATAGAATCATAGATTCACAGAATAGCTTGGGTTGGAAGGGATCTTAAAGATCGTCCCAACCTCCGTGTATGGCATGGGCAGGGCTGCCACCCAACAGCTCACGCTGCCCAGGGCCCCATGCAACCTGGTCTTGGACATCTCCAGGGATGGGGCATCCACATTTCCTTTGTTTTAGAGATGCTGGCAGAAGAGCCACTTACCTGGAACCCTCTGGATCAGCAGGCAAATCCTCTCGCAAGTTCAATTCTTCAAATGAACTGCAGTTCCTTTAACTCAGTTACCATTTATTCTCAAAGGCAGAAACTCTCTTCTGCATAATTTGTTCTACACAATGGGACAGATATTTTGCTGTCTATTCTTTGTGTTATTCTAGCAAGTGAGCATCACTGCATTTTATTTCAAGTGCCCTTCCATGTATAAGGCTGTCTCACCAGTGCAAGCTGGCTCTGCTCTTGTTCCCACGCTCACTTACCTGCATCTTTACACAAATGCTGACTTAACATTCATTATTTGTCATGTTGCAGGTCCATGTCAAACCCAGTGTGACTTCTGGACTTGATCCAGGGCATTAGCAAACAGGATTATCTTCTCACTGCAAGCACTGGACGCAGAACCTACTGAGATGCAATAAACACAGTTCCTTATCATGCTGATTTGACAGTAATTTTGCAGGGTACAGCTGGGCTTTAAAACTTTGTTCAGTTCTCCGCTCCGCAGTCTTTATTTATTAAAAAAAAAATTCAACAAAGCAAAAAGCCACACACACAAATCCAAACTTTTGTTGTTCTTCCTCGTTGTACACTGTTCTCATGCGTGCCAGTTAATTCGCATTGGAACAGCCCTTCCAAATGGATTCCTACAAAAACTATTAATAATAAACCCAGTAGTAATTAAAATGAACATATTCTCCAGTCATTACAGCAAAATGTACACTCAAATAAGGCTAGGTAATTTGTGCATGCTTCTACCTTTCATCTCTTACGATGCACAGCTCGAAGTTTCTTTTTTCAGGTTGACTGACAAATTTGATTGTTTGGGGAAAATGTGTGCACAAGTATTTCTAGACCATTAGTAAAACTGGTGAGCTTTCTGAAGCAATTTCATGTGAGACCGATGATCCTAAAAGATTCAGACTTACTGTGCTTGCAAAACCTTCTTGCGTGGTCTACAAAGAATAAAAGACACTGTCAAAGGACTGATTGAGAAATTTTGCCTGGTGAACACACTGACAAGTAATACTTACACCAGCACTCTGAAAAGGAGCAATTATTGTACTGGGATTTGCCTTAACTATAGGCAGCTTATAATCTTAAAGGGCTTGCCTGAAGGACCTCCATAGCAATGGATGACTTTATTTTGACTTTACTGGAGTCCAGTAAGCCCTGAGAGTAAGCAAGTGTCATTTTGCTATTAAATTTCACAATGCCTCTCCAGATGAAATTTATTTTTATGGAATCTATTTAGTCACTATTTTACAGCACACTTGAACTTTACTATCAGTGAACTGCCAGTCCTTGTGCATCCAATACTGATTAGGCAAAGGAAAATCTTTGGGGAAGGAACATCAGTCTTTGTATGGAAAAAATAGTCCTCTGCAAATAATATAAAGCATTTCTAGGTCTTCCATTTCTGTGAGTCACTGAATGAGTCAAAGACAGCTTCCTGGGTTCCAGAATAAATTTAAATATCTGTTTAAATGTTCAGAAAACTAACTGAGATATTAATAATATTTTAATATTTTCCATGAAAAAAGAAATCCTTTAAGCTACACATTTCAACTTCAAGAAGAATGCATATATTTATATAAATTCTAAGTCATTGGGCTTTGGGGCAGCAAGGGAAAAAAATGGCAATTTGAGGAGGTGAAATTTTCACATAAGCTCAGCAAGAGTCTCCTTGTGTCCCCATCAGCCTGCTGCTCCAGCCCTTGCTTGTCACTATTTCACTGCTTAAACCATTCAAGAAGGATCTAGGGTTTGGATCTTGGCCAACCTCATCACAGTCTTCAGTGCTAGGGCACAGATCAGGGATGCAGGAACCTCAGAGACAACAGGCTAGGGTAACAAAGAGAAAGGTAGATCCATTTATTCCAGTTTCTCTACAGGCACAGCTGAATGGGTGATGGGGACAAGGGCTGCTTCTTCGTGGGGCAGATGCTGAGTGCTGGGACATGGGGCTGGTGTTTGTACCCTGTTCTTTGGAAAGGAAAGGCAGCAAATAAAATTTAGGAAGCAGTGATGTTAGACACCCACAGTGCCAAAGCACTGAACCATCAAGCTGGATTCCCAGCCCTTAGAGGTTGGTGCCAAGAATGGAAACAAGTTTATTAGCTGCTGCAATGCAGTCCTAAAAGATGCCGTCTGCAGCTTTCTGTCCTTTGCAAATCGGTATGCAGAGGAAAAAACAAAGGATTGCCTTTGCTGCTGTTTTGCAGGAAATAAAACATTTTCACAGCTGTTTCAGAGGTGTGCCTTTTAGCATCTTTGGGTTTTATAAAGAACTGAAATATATTTCTCTCCCTTATAAAAAAAGAAAATCTTTTTTTTTTTTTCTTTTTCTTTTTCTTTTTTTTCATACATTACATACAAGTCATAAAGCCTTGGCTTCTTTGAGAAACTGAGATTCTTACAATTCCACTCCTTCCCATCTCCCCATCGCCTAAAAAAATAAAATAATAATTAAAAAAAAAAGAACAGGAAACTGACAAACATTTTGGGGAACGCTGCAGTATCACATTGCCTCAAGAAATCCTGCACCTCAGTGTTCAAGTTTTCCACTTAGTTCTGTAGTAAAAGCAGAAAAAAATTGCAGGCCTTGATGTGTAGGTTGTGCACGGGTTACTGACAATTAGCAGCAGCTCTGCTCTGCCACTGTAGTTTGTAGGTTCAGCATCAGTGATTCCTCATTTTGGCCTGCCACAACTGAAGCTGGGCAAAATGACACATCAATTTGAAAATCGTAATCATAATATGGGAAGCTGAGGAGTATAACAGTAAGCAAAAATTAAAAATGTTTCAGCATTTCTTTGTTTAACGGATCGCAAATATTAAAGAAGGCCCTCATATAATTGTTCTTTTCTCCTAAGTTATGTGTGAACCATATGCACACATTTCAGAAGTACAAACCTTGTGTTTTCACTGCCTAATCACAAAAAAATAAATAAACAAAAAAAAAAATTAAAAAAAAAAAATTAAAAAAGAATCAATAGGTTTGCAATGGTCTCTAGTGTGACTTTTTAGAGTTAGGTGCCAAGTGCAGAACTCATGTACCAGTGATGTTGCAGGAATCAGCAGTGAGGTCTGACAGCAGGGTGCAGAACAGCCAGCACAACACACATTCAGTAAAAGGATGAATTAGGTGGTCACTACCAAGGAGAGGAACATACCTCCAACTTTGCCATCTTCTAGAAGTACTCTTATTCATAAAACTCCTTTCCAGACCCTGAAGTCTCTTCTTGTGCTTGCACGCACAGATTTTGCATTTAGGTAGGGATTCCAGGCAGGATGCAGGGGGAATGCCGGGCCTGCCCCTGTGCTAAGGCCAGAACTCCAGGCCCAAACCCTTCTTTATCCTGAGCAGATTGAGGCCAAAGCTCCATTGGGGAGTCTCCTGTCTGTAGGCATGGGACACAGTCCCTCTTGCCAAATGAGGAAAGGCTGCCATGTTGCCTGATCTGCAGCAGCGCTGGTTGAGGAAGGGGAGGTCCAGGAGATAGGGCTCTGTGCTGCGAGGTCCAAGAAGAGATAGGGGCTCTGTGGTGCAAAGATCCAGACATGAGAACACCCCAGGCATGCCCCCAGCACATCAGGTCCCCATGAGACACAGGCATGGAACCCATGGGCCTGTGACTTCTCAGGTGGCCTCAGCAGAGGACGGGTGCACAGATGTCCACTCAAGCTGAGGTGGCATGAACAGGCAGTGGTGCGTCTTCAGGCCGTTGTGATGTATTTCTGCCTTTCAGGAGCTACAGTACCAGAGTTAGACCAGTTCTCAACGCCTGATGAAGAGTAAGTTACTTCCTAATGCTACAAAAAGCCTGTTAAAAAAAAAAAAGTGCACATGCAGATGGATTCAAATACTTGAAATTCAAATTCCAATAGTGTATTCTGTGTTCATTCCTTTGTTATTATTACTAAAATCACTTTCTTCTTTTGTTCAGGAATCACGGAGTCTCCTGCTTAGCGTTAAGTTATTGCATGATATAGAATCAATTCCAAATGGGTGGTTTTTTACTGTGTAATGTCTTGGATTTAGTTTTTCAGTTATTTTTCGTAAATACATTTTACATCTAACTACCTCAGCTGCCTTTTGTTTTGTTTTGGCGCATAAAAAGTCATGCACTTTCTATATTTGGGGATTGGGGGGAGGAGTTCTTTCCATTTTGAATAACCAGGTTTAAAGCCATGTTGATCAATTTATAGAGGAGAACAAGAAAACCTAATTATTGACAGCTGTAGAACACACATTTTATTTTTAGGTTCTGTTGGGGTATAGTTTGACAAAAAACACCATAAGCTGCTTGTTAATTTGCCTTAAAAATGTGTGCTCTTTCCTATTCAAGTTGTGTTATTTAACTCTTCTCTTGTACACAATTTATGTGACAACAAACGTAACAGTTGGCAGAAATACAGCAAATTGAACAGAATGGACCAATAGTTTCTCAGTTCTCTGTTGCAAACTGTTGCATTATACACTGATTGTGCTAAAATAACTGTTACTGTGCTTATACTCCTTTGTCACCGTTGCAGAAATAAAGTTACAGAAGATCACATTTGTGTTTATGGAGCAGTGTAGATATCCCCCAGTACAAGCACAGTGACTTGAGGTGAATGATAATCATTGCAGAACTTGTGCTTTGACTTGTAAACATTGTAAAAATGTATTTGGTATTTTATTTGAAATGAAGAATCAAAATAGTTACTAAAAAAGAATCTTCCTGTAAATATATATATTCCAATTCCATGTATACAAACATTCCTTTAGAATTCAGATTGTGAAGAGTGTCTTTATCGGCTAGAGACTGCTGTCTCCCTGGCAGAGGTTACATGTGCTATAGTAAAGAACACAGTGTGTGAAGTATTTGATGTACTGCAGTACCATAGTTCTTTTGGTCTGTTAAGTAAGTTGCAATTTGTGATGAAATGAAGTTGAAAGTAGTGCTTCATACTAACAAATTTCCTTGGTTACAACTTGATTTTTCTTGTAAAACTTAAAAAGGAAAACTTGAAAATTTTATATATTTGGATTTTGTAGATTTTTTTTATTTTATTGCAACACAAGGTACCAAAATCATTAAATAAAGTACACTGTGGTCATTTTACCATGGCTCTAGAGTCTTCTTTAAAAACTCTCTTACAATGATGGATCAGCAAAAGACGCCATCTTTCAACATCATTACTGAACAAGACCAAAGCTGGCCTTGTTTTGACAAAGAATTGGCCTGATGATCTCCAAAGAGCCTTTCCTCCTCTAACTATTCTACAATACAGTCAATAATATCATCAAAGGAGCTCTATGTTCGAGCACAGGAGTGGCGTGAGCAGTTCCTAAGCCACTTCTGGTTGCTGTAGAAGATTTGAGAGATCTCTATGGGATGTGGACAACTTTACCAGTGGTGTCACAGCAGGGACACCAAGGAAGCCACCAGACAGCCCACAGGCACTTCACCCCAAGAGCAGCAGAGCAGGGTGCTCTGGATACCCAGGTCTGGGCCCTGAGTGATGTTTGGAAGGAAGGCCTCCCAAAAAGCTGCCCACGGAGCAGGCCCATATTCCTCAGCCCTGTGGAGGGCACAGACCCTGCTGCCAGGTAGTAAGGATGCTCCCTTGGAAAGGGGGAGATTTCTGGACTGCGGTTCTCATGGCTCTTGAAGCATTTCAGCCACAAGGAATACAGAATGAGGAGTGCAGAAACCCAGAACTCCTCCAGCACCTGAAATGGCTCACAGGGAACAGGAGACAGTGTGCTGCTGTTTTCATCCTCTCTTCTGTCTCCTGAAAGCATCACTACTTACCAAGCAGTGATCCCCATGCAATAGAAGGCAAGGGAGTGACAGGCCTCACCCAGCCTCATCCTGAACTCAGTAGCTAGGAGAAACTCCAGGAAAGATGCAGCTTCCTTCATCTTCCCATGTTCAAATCCCCTGGGGTTGAGGAGGGTTTCGTTTCTTCTCCTCCTGCCTCTTGGACAAGTGCCTTTAATTATTAGATCATTACACAAGTTGTTCGGATTTTGGCAGCACTTTCAATGATCTTAATACCCCTCCAGGACTTCATTGCTACATTTGGGCATGTAATGCCACCCTAAACAGCACCAGGAGCTTGTGCAAGGAAGGACAGTACCCAAATCCATCAGCCCTTCTGTCCCTTAGCCATGCCCCCCCTCCTTCTTAAATGCTTGTTGGCCTATCTGAGGTGACCAAGAAAGAGAGGCCAGAGAAAACACTCCATCAAGCACTAAACAATTACTGTGAGTTCAGAGAAAGATCTATCTACTATCTACCTAGATATATACCACAGGTAACTGAATTTGTATTTGTTGACTACATGTCTTGTAGTTTGGCTAAAGATAAAGCAGTTTGTTATTGTAGATTGGCAAAGTGCAATGGAAGGAGGAGTACTCCAACAACATGACTGGTAACTGCCCTATTTCACAAGAGTTATTCACAAGAGTTAAGATCTTCAGTCTCTGTAACCCTGCAAATCCCCATCAAAGAAACAAAACAAAGCCACACACACACATACACACACACACACACAAAAAAAAAAAAAATAAAAAAAATAAAAAAAAAATAAAACCCCACCAGATAGAAACATGCTCATAAATAACTTTCTTAACCAATCGTGAGTCAGGCACAGAAGTCATCAAAGCCACAATCTTGGGTACTGGAAAGTCATTTGATGATATCCAATAATTTTATAATTGGTGAGGTAAAAGAGCATTAAGTGGGTGAGTAGCTGCCATGGTGTGGGACTACATACCTTGGGGTAAAAGAATTGCATTGACATATTTTTTAGGCAAATTATTGACCACTGATGCAAAAGCCTTCTCCAGGATGCTTTTAATGTAAGCTTGTGACATGTAAGAAGCAAAGCAGTTTCTTTTTAAGCTAAACAATGATAACAGACAGTTTAAATAGATTCTTAACAAAGAAAAGAAGTGGATAAATTTTTATAGGCTGCTTGAACAGTGCTTATTCAGAGCAGTTCTCACCTCTCCTTACTTTAAAAAAAAAAAAAAACAGAGAGAGAGAGAGAGAGAAATGGCTATGGTTCCTGTAAAAAAACTTGCTGATGAACTAAATATAGAGACTTGGTAATAAAAGCCCCAAGTGCCTTGGCAAAATTATCCAAGTATGTTTTTTCTCCTACTTATTTCATATGTAGTTAACACTACATTCACTCAGTTAACTTAGCTCATAAAGTACACAGAGACCCGTTTGTACGGAAGGGGAGCTGTATCTTCTTACCACCGCAATGGGAATCTTGGATAGGCCGACCAGAGATGGACAGTTCTTTTCCTGTGTACTGCAGTTATAAAACACATCTCTTCACTAAATTCTGTGCTATAGAAATGAGACAGGAAAGTAGGAAAGTGCTATACTGTACGGTTTGTTTGCTGTGGCAGCACTTTGGACCCGTGGTCAGGCACACCAGCTCATGCATATTGTATTCATTCTTAAGCACTCAGTTTTTCCCACTTGGAAAGATTTCTCATTCATAGAAAGCTATATACAAAGCTGAAGACTTATTCCTACTGGGTCTTCCAGCAATCAAGCCATTTCTTTTCAGTCAGGTTCTAATTAAGTGCTGTGAGCATTAGCTGTACTGCCCTGAGCACACCAATAAGCACAGTAAGTGTTACCAACCATTGTGTTACTGCCATATGTGCATTGTTAACCAAGCAGATCAGCTCAGAGAGAGACAGCAATTCAAGAATAAAGTCTCAAAACATGGAACGATAAGCTTATGTACTCTATTATACAAATAAGGAAACTGAGCAAGTAGATTATTACTGATATGTGGACTCCTGTGATTCTTCTCCAAGCAATCTCAAAGTGTTAAGCAAGTTAACCTTATACTGATTTTAAATTTTTGGTATCTCTATAGTTAGTACAGATTTGGAACTTGATCAATCCCACTGCTGCAAAAAAAAAAAAAAAAAAAAAGTCTCAATAAAATTAAGGTGAAAGTTGTCTGAGCATAGGCCTGGTGCCAGAAGCATCTGCCTTTCCTGTTGGTCATCTCCATCTATTTCTGATTTAGATTGTCATTGAGGCTCTGGGCTTACAACATGCACAGCAGGGATGCTTGTTTCCACCTGCAGTCAGCAACAAAAAGTCACTGGCAATGATGTCTGTGGGGAATGAGTGGTTCAGCTGGAGCTTGCTCTGGCATCATTCTGGAGGGTGGTCAGGGCTTGCAGTTCCAGCACTCTCAGATAGGACCCAGCAAAGCTCAGCAGTTTTGAAAAATGCAGCCCTTGTTTTTCAGACTGAATACTCACAGTGTCTCTATGTTCAGATCAGAGGCTGCTTTTGGAAAAATAGGTTTTGACTGCCTCATCTGCCAGCTGCTTTTTCCCAAGGAGACAACTCACATCGACTTGTAAAAGGTGTTGTTGTGAGTGATGAGCTAATTCTGAAACACGCTCTGAAGCAAATTCTACCAAATAAGTAGTTCTGCTGTTCCCTTGATATCAGAAGCTGCCTAGAACACAGCGTTGATTTTCTCACTTTGCAGCACACCAGCTATTTCACAACTCACAGCCACATGAGAGTAACACGGAACATCTGGAGGCTCCTTCAGATGGAGTGGGCAGCATTATGCAAAGCACACTTTCCTTATTGCACATTTGTTCCTCCCCATCTTTCTTTTCTCTCAGATGATTTTGTAACTTTTCCAAGAATTTCCCCTTAAGGCTTTCTCTTTTTGTTTGTTTGTTTGTTCATTTACTTTAAAGGCCTGTTTTGTATTTGTTTTTGTGCTTTCCTTTGGGAATCTACTTTTGCTTGGAGCTGTGTTTGCCATCTGTTACATCTGAGTCTTCATTTCAAACGCTGTCACCTTCTCACAGCGATTTTGATTCCAGCCCTCCATGCCAGCGCAGAGTGGGAAAGAAGCTACGAGGTTACCTTGTGCCTATGTGGCATTTGGCCAGAGGTCTCGCATCCTCAGGAGTGTCCTACCAACGTCCTGATAGCAGCAGGAAACTTGCCCACAGATCAGTTCCTCTGGCTGGTCAGAGTGCTCTGCTAGGTATCCTGTGTCACCGTTTGCCTCCAGCTTCATCCTTTGTGCTGACATGCAAATTCTCGGACTTTGATATGGTCACTTGTCATCATATCTAAAAAAATGACATAAAACATAGCATTTAAAAATATATATGAAAAACGAGGAAATATCATGTGAGCAGTATGCACAGCACAATGTTTCATGAGCGTGTAAGGGAAAAACGAGGTTGAAGTTCAGTGTTGGGGTATGATGGAGGGGGAATGGGCTGGTTTGTTTCCTGTGAGAAGCTCTATTGCTCAACGAGGGGTTGCAGCTCTGCCCCAGCCAACAGCAGGCACCACAGTGCTGGCAATTTGGAATAAATGCACCTTATGGTCCCGTCCTTCTTTAAAGTGACATGAATTCCTACGCGTGACTTGTAGCTAATTAGTCAAGTTTAGCCTCTAGGTTGGCTTTTGCTTTAATATCTGACCTACCAAATCTTTAAAGTTAGAGCTATCCAATTTCACTTATCTATTGTTAGCAGTTTTTTATGTTTGGACTCATCACCTTATCCCAATCTATAGCTAATAGATTGTGCTGGGTGATGCATCTCCCAGGTTTCTTATCAACACCCTAATGGGACAGGATTTCATTGAAGTGGTGCACATGTAAAGTAATTTATCTTGCCTTGCACCTCCATGAGGCTCTGTTACAGAAAGAATTACAAAGCAAAACTTCCATCTTTGGCTTCCCTGTAGGGATTATTACAATCAGACATCTTCCCAACATTTGCAATTGAATAAGAAATGTTCTTGGAAAGATCCAAAGAGTGCTGTCCAGATTTATTTTCAGAGCTTGGATGGACCTCTGACACGCTGCCTCCTTTTCCTCTTCATCATGTTATGAGCTTAAAATGTGGGCTGGAAAGCAGGGAACCAAAAGGAAAGCTTCTGCTGCTGTCCCATCCAGCTACTCAATCACCTATGTGATGTCACCTGTGGTTACTGCCAACCTGAAAGTTTCTTGTGTCTCCTGCTGAGCACATGAGCATTGGTGATGGTCTTCATTCATTACTTGCCATTCAACCCAATGGAACTGTACAAAGGCACGTTGCGCTGTGGGAATGTTTACCCATGATCTGTAGCAGTCCAAACCAGTGTGTGCCTTGGTTTACATGGTGAAATGGGCTGATGACCTGGTATGATACACCTCTCCCTGAGCTGTGGCTGACAAGTCACTGCAATGTATTTCCAGTCTGGTATGACATTCTCCAGCAGAGCATACAAGTGAGACATGAGAAAGTTGAACTTTAACTTATTTTAATATTGTTGAGAATACAGATCTCACAAAACCTCTTCTTTAATTAACTTTTTCTGCATAGATAATTTGTTTCACCAGCATTCTATGCCACAGGATGCTTCTTCCTGTGCACAGAGATAATGTGCTCTCTTTCTCTTTCTGCCTGAAGCAGAATTGAAGTAGGAAGGGAAGTGTTCAGTAGCACTTTTATCCTTCAGAGTACTTTTTTCTTCTGTGCACACATGCAACATATTTTGAGATCATAGCTCTCCTATTTCCTAAGGGATGAAGAAGAAAAAACAGGGCAGCCTTAGAGAAAAACAAAAAATCTTGGAAGAACATAAAAGCCTTGTGTTCATTACAGCTTGCCTTGAAGAATTCATCTGACATTTCTCTGAAACCTGAGTTATCAGAAGCAATAATTTGCTCTGCATTATCTACTATCTCAATTCAAAAGCAGTTCTAAGGAGGTGCCATTTGAATTCACACAGGAAGCCAGATCTCTTGATAGATGATTTACTTGTTTACTTTACCAGGCACCTGGTGCAGTAAGAAGAAAGAGAGAAGCTTCTGATTTCAAGATCTCTTTGTTATTTCTCTTACAATTGCCTGATTTAGGGACAAATACACAAAGACATGGTGCCCAGAAGTGAAGTTGCAAGCATCCGGGTCCGGTCACGCAGAAGGAGAAGGAAGAGCCAGAGAGGAGACACACAGCCTGGCATGATGGGGAAGTGAGAAATGGAGCTGGACACCACCAGCTGCTGCCCACGCATAGAGAGGTATGTGTGCTGTCTCTTGGTTCTTTACAGGCTCCAAGTGTCCAGATTTAAGTTATTCTGCAGCAAAGCCCCCTCCCATGCTGGCTTTTTCAGTCCATATCAAGCTGTGTGAATAACTTGCTCTCTATGTGCCACTTCACATCGCTGCTGTTCTAACTGGTATGCAGCCCCAACTGGAGCTTCTTCTGCACCTTGTCAGGATGCAAACACAGAATTTGGTATTAAAGCCCAGAGAAGCTCAGCTGAAATATTCAGAGGAATAATCTCTGCTTCAGCAGTGTGGTTTTCCATTCACGCCAAGGCAACAACGCTTTTAAACTCTCATGCCCTCATTGTTTCTGACATCAGAAACACTGGCTGCAAACTTTCAGCCAATATGCCTGAGGGAAAAATAAAAGTCAAAAAAAAAGGCAAAATGTTCACACTGTAAAATTCCCCATGCAAAGATCCTTCCTTTGTTTGTCCTTAGATGCCCGCAAAGGCAATGCAGTACTGGTTTTTATTCCATGCTAGCAGTTATTGCATCTGTATTGGGAAGTGTGAAACAAGCATCCAGAAAGCAAAGGTCTTTGCAGATTAGGAGTATAAAATATGTTGGGGTTTTTTTTGGTGGTTTTTTTTTTTTTTTTTTGATCTTAAAAACAGGAACTACTGCAATATCTGAGCAACACTGAGCCATCTTGCATTTTACAGCTTTTCAAATTTAAGAATTATTGCTGAAGATTAATCTATTTCAGTGCCAGGGGCAGCAGAAATTGGTGAGGGGCAACACTGCTTGCTAAGCAAAGGAGCAAATTGTAAGGACAAAAATGAAAGGACAAAAAGCAAAGAAAATAACTCAGCCCTGTGTGGGATCAAGTTTTCATTTCTTATGGGGTCTTGTAAGGCCAGTGAATTGTTGGCAGTAATCATCTTTCAGCTTTTTCCACTTCAAGAAAAGGTAAATCCAGCACATGCACAGAGCAGTATGGGTTCTCAGAAAGAGAAACTTTGATAGCCAGCATATGAATTACCTGGGAATAGTCATGTTTTCTTCATTTGATTTATTTACTTCAATGAGCTGCCACCACCTGCTGAATCTCTTCAAATTCATTTCACTCCACCCCAGCAGCAGGGCATTTACAATGGGATGAATCACTTCCACCTTCTCTTGATGCAGCCTACTGATGTATAGCCAAATGTCTTTTACTCTCCTCAGTTGCAAAATAGGAGCTGTTCCCAGTAATTTATTATCAAATCTGATTGAATTGGAGGTAGCACATCCTCATCTTGTCACAAAAAGGTTGATACTACAGGTTTGTATGTTTTCCTTCTTCATGTCTCCTCTGTTATCTCTTGCTTGGCACACTGCCTGGAAAGCACGAGCGATTGGTGAAACAGGACAGCTTGCCAAGGAGACAAAACTTCTGAAGAACAACCCCAAAAAGAGTATTGGTCTTTTTAAAGTGATCCTCCTTTTCTCTGGGTGAAATTGGTAGCTCACAATCCCTCATATATGAGTGTGTGTGTTTCCCCCATTGTCAAACCTGCTGTTCCTTTGTGTGTTACTCTGGAGCTCAGAATAATCAGTATTGCAAATGTTTGTTGAAGTGGCAATGCTGCTTTCAGTCCTGAGCATTCCAGGCTTTATTTGTCTGAATGCGAGCATGCTGCTAATGTGGATGCTGTCCATTTCAGACATTGGAAATGGGGCCCAAATCCTCCAGAGGTGTAACTTCCAGCTGATAAAAAAAACGTTCCTATACAGTTAGCTCCTACACTGTAGGCAATCTGTATGAACATCTGAAAATTGGGCTCTAGGAACCACCTATTTGTTTGCTGTCATGGTACACCCCATGTTTTGCTGCCTGATTTAAGAGAAGTTCTATTAGAAATCAGCACATCTACAGAAACTACTTAGTCCACAGACTGATAAAAAATGATTAAGCAGAATAATGACAAAGCAAGTATGAAAGATATCATCTTGACATTCTCAAAGCAGCAGGTAGATAGAATAATAATGGCCTGCTGTTCCTCTTGCAATAGCAGCTGAAGTAAGTTCCAGGTTCCTGTTCACACAGAGGAAATGGGATCATGCACACACATAGACATGGTGCTGAGTAAGTAATAAGATTAGCTAGTATCTGGTCCTGTAGCCATTAATGGTCAGAAGAAGTTAAGAAGCAAGAAACAAACAAACAAACAAAAAAAAAACAACAAAAAACAAAAGAAATTTAGTTTTTAAAAAAGAGAGAGATTAATGCACTCTGTTGGCTGAGATTTTCTGTCTGCCTTTTTAGGTCATCTCTCTACTCCCACTGCTCTGTTACATGTGTTGCTGCACACTGGTAGGTGCTTAGCTGCCTACATGCTGAGTTCTCTGTACCTTTCAGCAGACAGCAACAAAAGCAAATTTCCAATGGTTTGCCAAACCATACATCCGTAACACAAGGAAAGCTCTGCAGAGCTAAAGTAATTTAGAGGCACCAGGCACAGAGTAACAAAGCAAGCTGAAAACTGGTGAGATCAGCACAACGTCAGGTCTATACACAACCTAAATGTTCCACCAGAAGGGCTGAATAACTTGCACAGCGTTAAGAGCTCTGCCAGTTCATCTATCATAGCTGCAATGTGGAAACCTTATCACCTTCCAAAAATGGTATTTGTGGATACCATATGTATAACACAAAGTACCAGAGGCTCTTTTATATAAAGCTTTTCTAATTGCCAGAAGGTTTCCCTTGTAGGGTTTGCTCTCAGGAGAATTATTAAGTGTGGTGGTAAGATGTGCACAAAGACTGGAATTTGACTGAATCAGCTCCCCAGCCGTAATTTGTAGTATCTGTTAAGCTGTACCTGAGGAAGATAGCTGAGGATACTTGAGCCACTGAACACTACTGGTGGAGAGAGAAATTTGGTAGGAAGCATGCTTGATAGCTGGATTTCAGTGAGCTATAGCTATCCTTGATGTCCTATTGCCAGATGAGTAAGCCTACTATGGGACTGACTACTAGCTATCTTCCACTACAGTTTATTGTTTTTTTAGCATGCTCCCAACAGGCCCTCAGGGCTGTTGAACACTTCTCCTGAGAATACTTCATCCAAAAGCTCTCCATGATTGCTCAACTCAGATGGCAAGTTTAGCCTTGGAAACACGAGAGCTGCCAGCAGCAGGTCTTTGCAAGGATTAAAAAGGGCAAGGCAGTTTTATTTCTATGAAATCTGACTCAAGATTGTCCAGAATTAGCATTCCAGATTTAGTTTGGGGTCAGGGTGTGATTTTTCATTTGTGGGTCGTTTTATATTTTTCATTACTGCCTTCAGAGACTGGGCCAAATTACAAGAAGCCTCTTCTCTCAACTTTGTTCTCACAAAGCAAAATCAACATGCCAAAAAGTTTGCCTGGAATGTGAAAATCTGCAGCCAAAAGAAGAAAAAAAGCAGCCAAGCAAGCCTTTGACTGCTGTGCTAGCTAGCTTAGAAAATTAATCCAGTCTACAATAGACAATAGAAAACTAATCCATTTCAGAAGGGACAGAGCACTTCCAAATTTTGGTTGATCCATTAGAAAAGTAGTTTTCATACTCTAAGGAAATCTGGCCATTAAAGAAACACCCAGAGAGCTGGCAGTTCAATCACAAAAGTTGCAACAGAAGCTCAGAAACACTTCTAGGTATCTTTGGTAGACTTCAAATAGATCAAAAAGAGAACTAACAAATGCCTATTGGGTTTTATATTTTTGTTCCTGTGTAAGTAGCAACCAAAGGAAGTCTGGAGCTACTCTGAGCACGGCAAAGACTCAACACCTGAAACCAATATTAGCAAAAAAAAAAAAAAAGAAAAACTCATTCTAGGATACATGAAGAACAGGGATATCTGCAACAGGACTCAATTCTGTTTACTGTGTGTGTTAGACAGAAATACCTGAGTGAAATTAAATGGTCTTGTTTAGATGTGGTGACTATAACACAAGGCCTGATAGAATAGGTTCTGCTCTATAGCAGCTGATTCAGCTTCATAGAAGGGGAGAAAAATACTGCCTTCACCTTGTGTGTGCAGCCTGATGTTAATTCCAAATGGCATCCCAACTACATGAAATGTTTCACACACACAAGGGTGACAAAGTATAGAAAAGTCTGTTTAAAAACAAATGCATCCTACAATCTGGAAGTCTATTGTATGTTTTAAGTGATCAATTTTCCGACATGGAGAGATCACTACAACAATTTAAAGAGGTTTTAGGAAGGAGCATGTGACATGAACTGAATGGATGTAGTGACCAAAAGTCAAGATCCTAGTAGTCTGTGCACAACAAAACTGTTCAATAAAAGCAAGCAAGCAAATACTGCAAATAACCCACGATGAGAAGAGTAATTTGCTTTGAGACCATTCATTTTTTGAGTTAAAAGAAAATAATGAAAAAAGTGCTAGCATCACTGATCTGTATGGTTGAAGACCTTTGTAGACACAAAGTCAACAGAACTGAGAAGATAAGTGACATCAGACAGCCTCATGAAGTTATAGCAGAAATGTTTTGGAGATTACCTTTCTTACTACATGTTTTCCACAGTAATGCTCATACAGCAATTCCATGCACAATTACTTTTGATACTTTTTTTTTTTGTGCAAAAATAATATAAAAAAAGCCAAGTTAGTGTTTATGACAGATTTAATAGGGATTAAACACTGCAGAGCTGATTGAAGTGTCACCATAGTTGTATCTTTCTCTTCAGAGTGTAACATAGTGGTATTGGATTTGGTGGACAAGTATACAAGATGAACCACACAATTGTGTTGACAACGCTGATTAAGTGCTCTAGTTTGTATCTGCAATGATTAATTTCATAGGAAAGCATCCTAATAATAGATGTTCAGGCTGAGCTCTGCTATTGCACAACAGGACAGTAAACTGGCTGGTAGGAGGCTTGTTATCTTGCTGAGAAATAATGACAAATACCTATCAGTACTGTAGTCATTCCACCTCTACTCCCAAACAATCTTTTAAGAAGGTGCATCCTGGTTGTGCTGTTTCCACAGAGAAACCTGGAAACTCTTCATCCTATCCAAAGGCTAATCAGGTAATTAGTGCTCTAGAATAACACTTTGAAAATTTCTTTTAAATAATTCTGCCTAACACACAGTAAACTAAATCAGCTAAGAGGACTCTAATCTTATTTGTACAAGTCTCCAGATCTGCCCCCCTTTTTCAATGAAAAATCACTGATAATCATTTAAACACTCAATATGTACAAACAAATCTTATTAGTCAGTATTTATGACTTACTTTCTATCACAGGATCTTAAATATAACCACAGTGGTATTGCAGTGCCTCGTAAGGCCTCCTGCAGAACTGAATACAACTATTAGAACTCAGACCTTATTCCTCACATGATTTTTGTCCCATTTTCCACTGTTGTCCGAGTTACTTTTTTCTTTAATACATTCCTTCGTGGGCTTGGATTCTACCACCCCTTATTCAGATACTAGATGGGAACAGCTTTCCAAGGATATTACACACACCTCAAAACCACTAAAGGTTCAACAGCGCAGGCCATGAATAATTTTGTTTAGTTCAAACACAACATGAAACCTCAGAGCCTGTTCCAACTGTCAATTTTATTTGAAAGGTGTCTTCTATACAATTTTATATATAGAAATAAATATGAAAGACCTATACAAATATGAACACTTAAAGAGTACCAATACTGTCCTTCATTTGTTATACTCATCTTAAAGGGACAAAAATTGCATCAAACATCCAACATTTAGCAAAACAAATTTTTACAAGGTCTCTGATCACAAAAGGTACATTCATTCATACTGGAATCTTTTTGTCTGAGTTTTCTTTTACATACACACAACCTCAATGTTTAGTTTTGTTCAGCTGCCTTTGAGAATTTCACAACATAAAAGAACATTTTCCTCAAGACAGACATTAAAAATAAAGTCATACCTATGTTTCATTCCAATGCAGTGTCTCGGCATTGTTTTAATGATACACAGTGTTAACACTATGTTTTTGAAATAAATTCTTCTAAAACTGAAGGATTATCTTGCCCTTAAGTAAAATCTAAACCATTTTCAGAGCTTCAGAATGGGCATTTGCTTTAATATAACACGATTCTTACCCAAGCTTCAAAAAACTTAATTCAGCACCAACAGAAGGCTTTTGGTATTAAGTAACATTATAAAACAAGTAATCTTTTGGGGTTTTTCAAATCATAGACTCTAAGAATATCACTGCATACTGTGATATTATTCTAATGTAGGCGATCATCCACATGCAGTTATATAATCCCACTGTTGTTCAGTTCAAGGAGAGTAAACCAGAGCATGTGCTCAAGTGTTTAGGGGAATAGATACTAATTTGAATACAACTACTGTTGGTTTTTGTTTTTTGGTTTTTCTTTTTGAAGTTGGGTTTCTTGTTCATTTGTTTTGTTTTTTTTTTAAGAAAATGTCAAAACCCAACACTATTGAAACAAGACCACAATATAAAAAACCTTTTTTGACTTTCTTTAAGGAATTTGTCCTCATCCCAAAAATAAAGCATTCTCAGTTACTAGTTTAAGGACTGTAGATCATGCTTGCTGCCAATCAGAGGAAACATTTCAGACATTTTCTATCTTGACAGTAAAAATGTAGGTTTTAGTTCAAGAAAAAAAAAAAAGTAATTTACTATAAGCCCAATTCTACAACTCCTTCCTGTTCATTCAATTATTTTTACCTAATCAAAGTATACAGTTTCCCTCTCAAGTCTGATTGTTTCAAACTATGTTTGAAAATATGGAGGTTTAACAGTTAACATATATACCATATTATCTATATATGTGCACCCTGTCCTTCAAAGAATTATCTCTTTTTAAAGGAGCATTGTATTCATTCTTAGTTTCCTTTACAATAAAGCATTCTGAGCTTGTGTTACCAAATACTCATCTCATTTCCATTTCTTAAAGTGTAAGTGCTTGGTTCATTTGTTCAAAGGACAACCTGCAGATTTAGAATCACTGAGTATTCAGTCACTGACAGCACTACAGGTGAGGGTAAATATCCATTATGGATCAGCTTGAGTGGTTTCTGTAACAAGTCTGCTTTGTTCACTGCAGTTCTTTCACTCTCTACTCATGCAAATACTTTCTGAGCAAACCCAGTAAAATGAAACATTTTCCACCTCAGGTTTTACAGGCATAGCTAGTGGTTCTGCAGGCCACTGAAAGTTAACTGCTTCCGTCAGCAATAGATTTTTCAGCAGCATGGAAGTAACAACCTGAAGAAAGATGTTACTGATGAAAACAGCTGCAGTTAACGTGGCCTACAAAAGCTAGTTGCAGTGGTAATGATTAAAACAGTGAGACTTCAGCTCTATAGTGGATCTAACATCCAGGTTAAGTAGCAACTATGGGACTGGGGCGAGGGGGGGGAGGGGAGTGAAAAGAAATAGAAGGAAAAAAGAAAGACAAGAGAATGAACATATAAAGACATGCAGCGTCATTTTTGCATAAACATTTTCAATGAAGGAATGCACTTGTCAAAAGTTCAGTTTACCTCATTAGGGATTACTTAAAGTTTGTGCTTTCCAAGCCTGACACTGGACAGGGGAAAAGTGTCTCATCTTAAAATATACAACAGCATCATTAGGACAGTATTTATTAATATGACTTTAAGAATATCATAACTAAATAGTAGCTTACTCAGAAGACCTTAGTCTTCTTTCTGTCGTGTTTGAAATCGTTCCATTAAAGCCCTCAGTATATTTCCTGGTATTTTCTGATGTTTGGCTATTAGAGCCTGGAGTGCTGCTTTTGTCTGCAAGGAAAGAGAAAAGTTTGGGGTCATCTTTACGCTGTTCATGTGTTAACATAATTTCTAGGATCTTTTCATCTTTATATTGGAGATCTTCTGCAAGTAGACAACACTATTTTCAGTGTTATTTCAGCCCACATGATGTGTCTGTGGGATTATTGCTAGGAAACAAACTAGAAAACAATTAGCTTTTATCTCTGGTAGCTGTGTTCACAAGCTCTATCAGTGATACGCAATAGTAAAGTGATGCTGAAGTAAACTACCAAAGAGATCTAGATCTCTAATGCACGTCAGTATCTGTATACTACTACAACCCTGAAACTACTGTCTATGCCCAGGTTTGCATCAGTAATACTCTTTCAGTATGTAGGAATTTTGCTTCTACACCGAGAAGCAGCACTGGAAACACAACTGTGTCTTGGCTGCGTGTAAGTCCCCTGAAGTAGCTGGTCCAGTAAAGTATGCTTAGATCACAGCTAAAATAGTGCATATCGGCAGTACTTTCACCCAGAAATGTTGCAGGCCAAGAAGTTAATAGCAGCCATTCTGTTACATAATAGCTCTGTGGAGAACACCGAAAAACAGAGCAATAAGTAAAAGTTAGGGTGAGGTAACAGTAACTTTTCTGTTTTGCCTACAGCAGCACAGACTGTTAAACTCTTAAGGCTAGAGACAGAACAGTGACCTACTTGCTTTGGAAAACCAGCATTCAACAAGGAGAAAAGTGATCCTTGGTACAGGTTCAAAAGTAAAGCACGGCAGCAAGTGATTCAAACACCTTCCTCCTGCAACCAGCACTTCTCTAAGAGGCTCTGTCAGACTGAACTCCCAAAAGATGCGCTCAGTTCTCCACAAACAAGGCAATGCAGACATTTAAAGATTTCATATTGCAGAGATCTAATCAGAGGATAAGCAGGTGATGACAGACAACTGAATCGATACTGGTGATTCAGTAAAAAAAAATCCCTTTCTCTTGGGTGAAGTTTTCAGAATGAAAAAAATGACCCTCTGTGAAGCTTTCAAATACAGCTTTTTTGGCTGCCTGAGTCTGACTGCTCCATACCCACACTTACCTGACTTGTATCTCTGCACTGTGAAATCTACTGATGAACATGAAGCTGAATGAATATGAGGACCTCACAATTAACAAACCACCTAAACTGAAGAAAGTCAACATTCTAAAACAAATTTCTTGGGAGAGAAGTTGGAGGAAACAGAAATCGAAATAGACTTTCAAAACCATGAAATTACATGGCTTTTATTGTTTTTATTTTTTTTTATGGAATATCAGTCTGCGGCCACAGATTTGCTATAGTTGAAAGACTTCACTGGTAACTTTTTAAATGATCTAGAAACACTCTCCCTGGGTGAAGTGAACATATCGTGTTTTTTTTAAACCACCCCAGGGTATTCTTAGGTGACTGAACTTCCTTAATTTCTAAAGCAAGATGTTTCTTGAAGCAAATAAAGAGTACAGGATTGACATTAAAAGGCCAAGAACATTTGCAAGATGTAGTAATAAAAGACAGCATTGAAGAGGGGCACGGGAAGTTAAGCAAGTCCAAAGTTTAGCACAATTCTATCGACTTCAAGTACCTCCACGGCAGAAATCATTACCCAGACAAGAATATTTTAGTGCTTTTGATCAGAATAGTCAATATTTAAAATATGTATTTACATGTATATTTATCTTACCTTTGCAGTCAGTTCCTCAGCAGTTATATTTGGATCATATGGAATGGGTTCTCCAATAAACGTTCGAAGCTTGACTGGAAACCAGCCATACATAGGAACTACTGGCAATCTAATACGTTCATACAGCTTCCTAAGTATTTCTAAGGTTAAAAAAAAAATAGGGAGGACGGGAGGGAAAAGAGAATAAAAGGAGTAGGGGAGAAATAAAGGGAAAGAAGGGGAAAAAGAGACTGAGATTACTCTGCAATTTTTTTTTCCATCATGTTTTAAAACTGAAACTGGCTTGTTGAGTAATCCAGCCCATGACCCAGAATCTTAAGCGTGTCATCTAAAGTACTGTTCTACTCTTGGCTTTCATTTCCCAAAGGCTGCATTAACACTAACAAAAGACTTGCTTCCACGCTCACATCTCCCCCAAAGAATAGCTGCAAAGAGATCAAAGCAGAGGAAGACTCAGTAGCTCTATAGGGAAGTAGCTGGTTAGAGTGAAACACTACACAAAGAGGAAAAGAAAACAAACAGAAGAAAAACTGGTATTTCCATCAGCTTTATGAAGGTAGTTCTTCATCACGTCACTTCCTAAGCATCTATCCTAAACACTACCAGAACTGCATTCTTGTAAAATGGGTGCTAATTTTCCCTTATATTAAAAAGATAAGATCTTAGTGATTGAAATGTCAATTATTCTGTGTACAATCTCAAAAAACAAAGAATATTCCAAAACTATTGAAATTAAAGTAGTGTCTCCAGCAATCAATAGAAGTAAATTCCTCTAGCACCTGTGCAATAGAATAAAAGTAGCATCTATCTTTCTGGCTTAAGCCTCTTCCAGTTTGGAAAAATTATTCTGAAAACAGTAACAATGCTCTTAATTTTTGTAGAACATCATAAAGAATGTATGAATCATTCTGCATGACTGTATTTATGTCTGGGCTTTCTCCATCCAGTATTCAGCTTTTAATTAGAGAGGATGAGAAATGGAATTGTTTTGTCCTGCAGATCTTTGATGAAAATGATGATGGCATAATTTGAAACAGAACATGCAGTACGGAGAAGACTATTCAGGCTCTTCCTGATAGCAAGCTGGAAGACACACATAGACAAAATAGAATGGGGGCAAGGGAAGAGCTAGCACTGTCAGATCAGCAGAGAAGCAGACATAATCATCCCAAAGGTGGGCTCTTCAGACATCTATGTATACCCATCTATTAGTGTACAACAATTCCCAAAAAGGATGAGGAAGGAGCAAGCAAACCCGAGTTGGTACAGAACTACAGACTTAGTGCTGCACTGTATAACAACTATGGATGAAATAGGTTTCAAACGTTACAAAGTTTAAGTGTACGCACAGAGCTTTAAGAGCTTATTTAAAGGAAATGTCAACTGCAAACCGTTGCTTCTGAACAGCAGAAAACTTAAGAGTATGTCTAGCATTTATCAGCAGAGCAAAACAATATTTTAAACCTATCTGCCTTTTTCTGGCTACTTTTTTTCCTTTCTTCTACTTCTTTGGGAAAGCACATTGTCACATTGAGAGTGACTGAGATGAGCTAATACCACACTTAATGCTGACACTGAATCCTAGTCATGTCCCTGCATTGCATTAGCAAGTAAACCTCAAGATATAAGGCTTTGTCAATTCTCAAATCCATGTGGGATTATTTCTACAAAGATAGGCTAAACACATATGGAAAAATAAACTACAAAAAATATATGTAAAATATCTTACTTATTCCTCCTAATGTCCTAATGCCTTCTCGAACATTTTGTGTAAACATAGGAATGATGGGCTAGGAGGGAAAAAACATATTAAGAATTTAATGAAGATAACACTATCTAGAAAACTGCTACCTCACTTAAACCCAACACACAAATTAATTTCAAGTGTTTGTCAGACAAGGACATACAGAGAGCAAAACAAGGATTCATTAAGTTCTTTTGCCACCTTTTGCCATGAAGTTTCAGCCTGGAGAACACTGCAAGGTTTCAGCATGTCCATATTCTTAAAGCAGTACAGGACTTCAGAACTTATGGAGTATTTAAGCCTCCTCTTGTCTAGAAGTATTTGCACATTTGTGAATCCAGTGGTTAGATGACTGCCTAATTTATAGTTATGCTTAAAGAATTCACAAGCCTGGGACCCTAAACTTGTCTGATTCATCTCTACTGCACTGACTATTGCTTTGCACATGATGTCTCATATTCTGTACAGGCTCATGATTCATTTCTGCTGATGAACATTTGGAACAGTGTCATTATTTCCAGATTTTATTACTGTTTTTGAACTTGCAAACAGCTGTCAAGATTTGCAAGAACGAGGTGACGAGGGGAAGGTTATACTACATGTATTTTTTTTTTCAACATCAATTTATAACAAATGATCAAAACGTAGAATGCTAAGATTTTCATGCATCCACACTCTTTTAAGCTTTTTTTAATAAAAACATACAGAAATGAGACTTTTCATACAGGCATCAAGATGTTTAAAAAAAAGTTTGTAAATAATCCAGTGCAGCTGTAGAGAATTAAAAAAGTGCAGCTGCCTAAACCAAACGGTAATAAAATTCCTTATTCCAGAACCATCATCTTTAGAACGTCTTACTTAGAAATTGGTTTAGATGACAATATTTCTGGTAAACAAACTGCTGAAATTAGACAATCTGAGGAAGTTGAAGATCCCAGTACTGATTTTCAGACATTTTTCTTTCCACGAATAGTTATACTCGTGATTAAAGGTGACTTAAAGTTCCTCTTTAATCTAAATACAGATTTTATTTTTTTTCCCATCAATTTCATTTTACCTCCAATACTATTCTGCATCTCTATGAAGTGGGGGAAAGTGAAGCTGCATGATCTTTATGAGTGCAGAAAGGAAACTGAACGTACATTCAGTTAAATAACTATAAGCAGTACAAGCATCATTGAATTTGCTAGATTATGGTCTGGAGTTTTGTATGCTATTACAAAGTATTACAAAAATTCTGAATCTGTTGAAAGTATCCTGCTTAAAATGCGTTACATTCCCCTGGTTAAAAGTGAAACCCATTTAAAATTAGGTCTTAAAAATATTCTACTTGGGTATAAAATCCAGAGATTTAAGTAGTCTGTCTTTGGCAGTGCTTAAGCACAAAACTTCTGGAGTGATACCAGTTCAAGTGAGGTATTTGCAGACCTGCGGACATACGCATATATCTTTCAAGTATAAATATAGAATGAGAGAGAATGAAAAGTATTATTGAAACAGCTGCAATTCAAATATATTATGTGTTTATGTGCACTCCATAGTTGGTCCCATACGAATAATCGTGCCTAGTGATCACAGACAGTGCTTTGTATGAAAAAGAACTGAAGAGGAAACAGTTCACACTAATAAGCAGCATCTTTTGTTGCTGCTGTATGCCCTAAAGATCCCTCACTAGCACAAAAATACCAATGCAGTACATAACACCAGTGCCTCTCGTATGAGTACAACAGCAGAGGCAGGTCTGCTGATTTACAGCCTATTTCAACAGTAGGAGAAATAGAAGTGCAATGTGTGGCTGCTTTCCAGTTATTCTGGTAAGAGGCTGAGCTGGAACAATCCCAACCAGGCAGGCATAAAACAAGTTCATAATCTAGAAACTGTCCTCGATTTCACCTCTTACTCTTTTAAACTCTGGATTTCTTAACCACAGTATTCTTAGATGACTCCAAAACATTCTTGTCAAATGGGACAAGCCATGGAATTTAGTTACAAAAGCAAGTAGACTGCATTCATGTCACTCAGCAATCTAACACCAAATATCTGATAATCAAAACAGCTTCACCTAGAAGAAAGAACCATAAGAAGTTAGCATTTTTTGCTTCTCTTCCATGATACTTCATACTTACCACTTTTGCATCAATGGCCACCTGGGCAAAGCCCTTTCGATTACCCCACATAATAGGATATGTTTCATCACTAAAGAGTGCTTCCCGAAGTCCACCTGGAGAAATAGCTAACAGATAGCCTTTCTTCAGAGCACTGACACATACTTCTTTTGGTCCATGCATAATGCCAAGTACTTCAATAAACGTTTTAAAACCTGCAGGGTAAAATCAACATTAATACAGAAAATGTTAATTCATACTACCATTGAGTACAAATTCCCAAGACAGAACACAGTTGCTAAAACTAGTCTAATAGCATAATACCCCAAATCAAAGATATTTCTAGAAGGACTGACACAAAGTTATGCTTGTAAATTTCAATTTAAGAAGTTGAAAATTTAGGTTTTCTGCCATGAAATCAGATGCTACCTCAAAAAAAAAAAAATCAATAAAACACTGGAAGAAATAAAAAAAGTCAAGTACTGTATGCCACATTCAGAGTTGTTTTCTGTGGTGCACCTTCTCTTTGCCCAAGCTTTACTTTTCAAGCAATGTGATGCAGTCATAATAAAGTTCAATGAAAGAAAGCATCAGCAAATTACGGGTTTTTTTGTTTTGTTTACTTTAGCACACAAGGAGCAGTCCATGCACAAGGAGAATGATAAATGAAACATAGCTCTCTCTGTGTTCCAGATTGCTGCAGCTCAGTCTGTGAGCATCCAGGTGGCCTTTCACTACACAGAGGAACCTGGGGATCCTGAATTGCACATATGCAATTAGATGAAGAGCTTACATTTACTGAAGTTTAAAACTGCAAAGTTACATAAACTCATATCTTAAATGTGAGATGTCATACTTACTCCACTCGTCAATAAGCAACAGAACAGCAAAAATTGCTTACAGGTATCAGACAGACACGTTTGGACAACTAGCTCAATTTAGGCAGCTAGTATAATGAAGAAAATGCACAAGAAAGAAACCAATTATGTTTATTTTAATGTATTTTAAACTTATGTAGTATTTGTGCACACTGCATACTGAAATGGGAACTTCAGGTCACTGAGCAACATGGGAAAGATTACTTCTCTTTCTTAAAGTTTCCCACAGAGCCCAAAATTAACTCAGTCAGCCACAAACAAAGGTACAGAACTGATCTAGCCAAGTTTAAATCTCAAAAACAGATCATCAGGTGTTTTTACCCTCAGTTTAACAAACGAATATTTATTATTATGAACACACATTTGTTATATAGAATCACAGAATCACAAGGTCAGAAACAACCCCAAGATCATCTAGTCCAACTGTGCTCCCATTACCGTTGCCACCACAAGCACTAACCCATATCTCGCAGCTCCTCATCCAGACACCTCTTGAACACTGCCAGGGACGGTGACTCCACCACCTCCCTGGGCAGCCATTCCAGTGCCCGACCACTCTCTAACAGAAAAAGTTCTTCCTTATGTCCAACCTAAACCTCCTCTGGTACAACTTGCGGCCATTTCCCCAGGTCCTGTTTGTTGCCTGGGAGAAGAGGCCAAACTTCTCCTCATCACAACCTCCCTTCAGGAAGTTACAGAGTGCAATGAGGTCTCCCCTGAGCCTCCTCTTCTTCAGACTAAACAATCCCAGCTCCCTCAGCTGCTCCTCATAGGACTTGTGCTCCAGATCCCCCAGCAGTTTCGTTGCCCTTCTCCGGACATATCCCAGGGCCTCAATGTCTTTCGTATAGTGAGGGGCCCAAAACTGAACACCATACTCGAGGTACGGCCTCACCAGTGCTGAGTAGAGAGGAATGATTATGTATGCACACACACACCAAAGAGTCCAAGATATTGCATGGGGTTGTTATGGTAAAAGTGCAACAAGACCAAGTGCTGGGTCCTGAACTTCATCCCATTGGCCTCAGCCCAGCTATCCAGCCTATCCAGATCCATCCGAAGGGCCTTCCTATCCTCAGATATATACTTCCTCTCAACCCAGTGTCACATGCAAACTTACTGAGGGTGCACTCAATCCCAGGTCATCAATAAAGATATTGAACAGGACAGGCCCTAGTACCAACACCTGGGAACACCACTCACGACCACCTGCCAGCTGGATTTAATTCCAGTGTTCAACAGGAAATTCCAGGTATCTACAAGAGTTTTTTCTATTAGTTTAAATTCCCTTACATAAGTTATCAAGCTGTATCTGTCTAGACTTAAGCTTCTTTGACCCCTTATAGGCCCATGCATCCCTCAAGAGGCACAGCAACATGCTACAAATACAATCCAGTTAATCACAGTTAAATTGGTACAAAAGTGCCTGATGAGGAGGAGGCAGTGAGACTCCATATTAACAACTGCAAACTGGCACATATGAGACTCAGGTTCATAGGGCAATCTATTCCCTCACAGCTATTCATAGCATATTTATGAATATTAACAACAGAATGAGACCATTACATCGTCTAATCCAAGTATCCTTTCCCTCCATTTCTCTTAGATCAAGTCTAGCAAATTTTGGTTAATTAAAACATCCTCTGGAAAGGCATCCATTTTATCTGAAGATCTTCAAGATCAGAAAGCCTAAGTACCAGTACAAAAGGATAGCCATCTTTTTGCTTTGATTCACAAAAGAAGCCCTATCTATCTAGGCTGCCAGCCACAGATTATTGTGCAGACTTCAAGACAATCTGAATCAATTACCTGGGCCCCTTGGGCTTATCCCCCCTGAACACCCTTCCAAGCTGTCCAACTGGACCAACCTATTCAGGGCCTCAGTCAGCAGTTTTGAAAATCTCTAGGGATGGAAATTCCCCAGCTACAGTTTAGGAACTGCAGCTTGCCTCTGTTTCCTATCATCCTATTTTTGATTACCTTAAAGAAGAGTCAGACCTCATCTTCTCTGCACATCACAGTTAAGTAATCAAAGACAGCAGTAATATCTTCCTCCACCTTTATTTGTTACAGACCAAATAAATAGTGTGTGCTTCAGCCTCCAGACAATATCCCTGGGAAGTACAACTGGGAAGTACAAAACAGGACACAGTACCATTGGATGTGCTCTCACAGGTGCCAAATCAAGAGAAAGAATCACTCCTTTTAACCTGTTGGCTACACTCAGGCTGAAAAAGGCCAGCACACAGTCGAGTTCACACTGTGCCTTTGCAACAAAGATGATCATGTTCACTTTGTTGTCCACTAGAATGCTGAAGTCCTTTCTGACAGTTACTTTCTACCCAGGCTCCCATCTGTCCTGTCACGTGGGATTACTTCATCCAAAATTCAAAGCTTCATATTTGCTTTTGCTGAACTTCATGATGTTTCTACCAGTTCCTTTCTGGGAAGTCACTCTGAATACTAGTTCTAACCTCACAGTGTCAACTGAGAGTACACTCCAACTCACCTTTAATTAACAATCATGCCTAAATATTAATAGACATATTATGGAGTATTGGCTACTGAATAACACAGAGACAAGTCTTTCTCCCATTATCTCCTTCTCTTTGTTTCTGAACACTCTAAAGTTATTAAAAGTGTTGCCCAGATTGGAGTGCAAACCATCTCCGCAGTTGCAGGAGATGCCAGTTGCATAAGCTTGTTCTTGTTTGATAAGAACACACTCTTTACTAAGAACAGTTGTTCCAACAGATTAACAATATTTGCCTGAAAGTTTGTTCTGTAAGCTTTGTACAATGAATTTTAATAACTTCAATCTTAAAAAAAAAAAAGTTTAAAGAACTCTCAGACTGATTGTTGATACTGAAGTACATTACCTGGTAATCTAAAGACGAAATGATCCGCTACTACGTGGCAATATCGCTTCCTTCGTATAAGAAGTCTAGCCATGAAATAGAGATAGTCAACAGGACTAGCTCCATGATAAAACACAATAAGTGCTGGTCCTTCTGGAATATTTTCATCCCCATGAAGTTCATAACCTGTTAGAAGTTAAAGGCGTAAAGGATATCAAAGTACGATACAATTCTATCCTACATAAACTAATTTGCATTAAGTTGGCAAGTTGAAACCAGTATCTACTGAGAAGTGTTAGAGCAAAGTGACTGCTAAAATGTCAAGAGCTGTCTTGCAGCATTTACTAAGTTGCTTTCACAGCTTCATGTTTACAAGCCTTATTTAAAGCTCTATTTAAAGAGAGAATGAAAACAACAGAACTAACAGCCTCACTCTCTTCAACTATTGCATAATTTTATCTTATTTTTTCAGTTCACTGCCTTCAAGGCTGTAGTTCTCTGAATCAATCATTCAAGATAAATCAAAATAAGGACTGAATAGGAGTGTTGAAACACTACTGTGGCAAGCTGTTACCTATCTTTCAAAATCAAGTTCATTGCTGCAAGCAACTGTTAATGGCAGTTTAACATGACAACACCCATTTATGTGTCTTCTTTAATCCCAAGTTCTGAGACTCATCTTTGTTATCTCTCTCAGAGTTATACTTAGACTACTTTTCCATCACTAAGCACTAAAAGCTGTTTGGGACTTTATATGCTTAACTGAAACACACATGAGCACATACAAGTGTTGAACTTACGTTTTTCATTTAGTTAACGCTGAAAAGAATATTCAGCTAGCACAAAACAATAAAATGGACCAGTTCAGAACACATTTATTTATACATTTAGTTTACAGTCAACAGTTCTGTTACAGTATTGTTGCTCTTTTCTAAATCTCATTCCTTCTGAAGTAATCAGGTGTGAAAATCCTTCTCCTTGCCTCCCACCCCCTCCCCCCCTTTTTTAAACTTCTGTCTGTACTTTTGGCTTCTCTCCCACTGTTCTATTTTCAATGCCTATTACAGATATACATCTACCAACCATCTGTAGGCGACCACTAACTGTGCTCCATGCTAGCTGAGCATAACCGGAGTAATAGCTGTGGCTAGCATTTGCATAATAAAATTACAGGTATCACATACAAGGTTGGGCTTTTGTTTGGGGTTCCCCTCCCACCCCCCCTTCAGTGTTTTGAGATTTCAGGAAGTTCCTCCTGCAACACACTGATTAACCAAGTGGGGGAAAAAAAAATTAAAAAAAAAAAAAAAAAAATCACAAAGCATTTCATAATTTACTAAAAGAAGTGGAAGCAGTTGACAGGGCAGAAAGAAAAGTCATAATAGTAGATGAGGGACTGGATAAAAATCTTTTCTGTGAAATAAAAAGCCAGACCTTATAAAAGAGGAAAAGTTACTATGGATGAAAAATGCCAAGGCCTTAAAAAAAAAAATCGTATGAGAAAAGTAAATAGCTTTTCATTATGAAGTGAGAATTTTAAGCTCTTTGATGTAGCTGTTGATTTTGATCTAGTGTACTTTCTCAGATTCAAAAGTTAGATCTTAGTCTTACAAAGCCAATCTGATACAGCCGCTGCACCATCTGGTTATAAATGCCTTGACAACCCTCATCCCTTTGACTGGGGAACAAATAGAGATGATTTTCAAGATAGATTTGTTCTTTATGTAAATTGCTCTTAAACATCTCTTTCTCCTTTAGCTGCATCTAGAATGAACGGTTTTGAAAGAAGCTTACGATTTCCTTAGAAAGAAGCCAAATCATTTATTAAGTCTATCTTCAGAAAAGATATAGCAGCAGAGGAACAAGGAGCAGAGCCCTTAGTTTTGACGTTCTTCTACTAGAGAAAGTAGTTGTCAAAAATACATAGAAAGAAAATACAAAAAGTAGGCCTCTGTGAATTGACTTGAGAGCCCAAAAGTGTTAAAGTGGTAACTAGAGAGCAAACCGACACCAAGTGCCCCTTTCAGACAACATTTGGCACGATGTCAGTTACATGCAGTTAAATTACACAAACAAATGTAGAGATATTAGCTATTAGGGAACTGGTATTTAGCTCTCAGTGTTTACATATTCAATCTGAAAGAGCAGCAAGGTTTTTTTGGGTTTTTTTTTTTTTTGCTTGCTTGCTTGCTAAATAATAATTCCTGAGACACAGGAAATTAATTTTTAACGTAGCTATCACTTCAGGTCCTTGTGGAAAAAGAAAATCCAAGAGTAGTTATTAACAGTTAAAAAGATTTTTTTTTTTAATTGCATTTATTTGGCTAAATGAAAGCAGCAAAAGCAAAGGAATAAAAGCATAAGATAAAACTGTACAACCAAAAGAATCTCAATTCTTTCTTTTCTTTCCCAGGCCCACAAAGTTGAAGAACTACTGGCAGTCAATAAACAGCAATAGCAATTTAATTTAAACTGATAATCTTCACAGACAAAGCCATAAACTGAGAGTCAGCGCTTTTTAGAGAGAAATCAGATTTTGCTTACCATGCCATATTCTCCCATGTCCATCCCACAGGTTAGCCAACATTTCTTTTGCACCATACCAAACATCACCAGAATGTCCTTCATTAAATCCATTCTTCCTCCTTTTATGAATATGAAGAAGGAGAAGGGAAGTGTTGAGGCAGAAGAAGAAGATAGCTATTGGAAGTATAAAAGCTATTGCAAGTGGAAAAAGCACCCATGAAAGGTAGACTCCATAACTCAGATAAGTTTCAGTGTGTTCTATACCAGTCCATTCTCCCAGTAAATAAGCCAGGAAGGTTAAGTAGGATGTAGGCACTGGTCCTTCAGTAGAGGATTCATTGCTCCCTATCATCTTCTGTTTATCTAAAAGAAAAGAAGAAAATGAATAAATCTTTAAAGAAAACATTTTTTTGTGTGTTTAATCACACAACAAACCTATTTGATTCATATACCATTTACCACACAGGAATCAGTACAATCTCAAATTGAGTGTGATTTAAAAAAAAAGAAAAAAAAAAACAACAACAACAACACCAAACACTTCCACTAACAGCAGACATGACTCAGTAAGAGCGTGGCCTCACTCATGTAGAGACCTTCAAATGCACTTGTACGTGGACAGAGAGTGAAATACAAGTCCCACAGCACAATGCAGAGTGGCAGCATAAAGGAGGAAGAAGATGAATCAAAAAAAGTTCTCTAAAAGCATTAAGGTCTCTGGTTTAATTCTGTCTATGCATAAGAGCCTTATTCTCCCATGGCAGTTTTTGAGATACACCTCTCTGGGCTGATATTCCGTGGTTCTGGTTCTACTTTGTAATCACTTCATCTTACAAAGCCAAGACAATCTGTATGCTTGGCTATATCTTAGCTGGAGTTCCACAACAAAAGGAGTAACACCTTGGAACAAAAAAAAAAAAAACAAAAAAATACTTCTGAGCCTAGTAAAGTTGTGGTCAAAACCTGGAGTAACTGCTAATCAGGTCAAAGAAGAAAAGCATTTTGCAACTACAATGCAGACTTGTTAGAGAGATTAAAAGCAATCACTTCTGAAAAAAACCGAAGTTTATTTTCGTATTACAATGTGACATACAATGTGCGACTGCAGAGTTCCTATGCACAGAGATATGTGTATCCTTCACTCCTTTGTTCTTGCTCTGTTTTAAAAGCACCAAGGGACTGATGAGAGATCATTTGACTAAATCTATCAGAATTTCAATATCAACAACTACAAAGAATCAGATCAATTTTATTTCACATTAAAGAGATAGCAGAAATCATCTCATTTCCTTCACCTATTTTGATATAGCAAGGATGTTCCTTCTCCTTCCATTTTGAAATTTGCCTCTACCCACATTGCTCAAGAAAACTCCTTATTTAAGAGAAAAAAAATAAAAGGATTTGGCTCACACGATCCATGCCTGTTGCATCAACCCAGGCTTATACAGTTCTCACTCCAGTTGTCAGATATGAACTCCAGAACCTGGCGGCAGCAAACACAGCCAAGTGCAAGAAATACAACTTGTGAGACCTAGCAGTACTGAAGAGTAAGATTCAATGCTGTGATGTTTGCCAGATTGTTATTGACTTCTCCCAGCATCCCACCTATTAGCTAGAAAACAATATGGAGAAATTAATTCTGCCACAGAAACACCTTTTTAGAACTCAGAGGTGATCATACATCTTGAAATATAATTCAAAGCTATGCATTCCTTCCTATTACTTTTAATTGTTTGCAGCTTTCTCCAAATACCAACTCCTCATCAAGAAAGTTTGAAGTCCTGTCCACATATGCCAGCCTTGCAAAACATGACTTGGCTTTCTGCATGCAATGTTAGATGCAATACTTCAAATGCAATCGCTGTAGTTTTATAAGTTTGCTTGCAAATGTATGCACTAACTAGTAGCACAAATAAAAATAATTTGTTGCCAAACATGTAGGTAGTATCTATTGTACTTCTTTCCCTTAGGGACAGTGAATCCTACTCTGAAAACCCTGCTTCCTAATCCTGAAAGGATCACAAAATCATTTAGATTGGAAAGAATCCCTGGCAGCGCTAACCCAACATTTGTCTGCCAGTGAGTTAGATTAGGTTGCTCAGGGTCATGTCCAGTCCAGTCTGTAACACCTTCACAGACAGAGATCCCTCCAGCCACCAATCCAGCACTTGATCACCCTCATAGTGAAAATGCTTTTCTTTATTTTAGTCAGAATTTCCCTCGCTGCAATTTGTACCTGTTGCCTTGTGTCTCTCGGCTGAAAAGATGTAGCCCCAAAAATAACTATTCATTATGAAGAGCAACAAGATCTCCCTTAAGTTCTGTAAGCTAAATGAAGGCAGCTCCCTCCACCTCTCCACAGACACCATCTGATGTGATCACCCAACACCACTGCTGGCCCTTCTCTGGACCTCCTCCAGGCTGCCAGCCCCTTTCTTGCGCAGTAGGGCTCTAAACAGGATGTGTGGTATTGTGAGTGATGAAAAGAGGCAACAAACACTTCCCTGATCTAATGCCACAGCCTTGCTCACATAGCACAGCATGCGGACAGCCATCCCCCCCTCCTACTTGACTTAGCATTTAACAGACAAAGGTCTCCTCCTGGCTGTAAACTTGCTCTTCCCACAACAAGTCCAGCATATGTTCTGAGCTCCACAGGAATAGTCTGTATCCAGCCTAAGCGTTATGTTATTGTTACACCTAACACTTTACCAGAGGTACTGGCGCTGAAAAAGGGATGGTTGGCACCATCACATCGCTCAAAGCAGTACAGGCATGGCCATCATGAATAAAAGCGCAAGGTAGTTCTTATGTGCCACTAATAGAATCATTTTGGTCTGTCCCACTTTAGAACTGCCTAGCGTCAGCCCAGTTAAAATTACAAAATCAAGTACGCTGCTTTCTTGAATCACCAGCGACATCCTCTGATTAGGTCCTCCTGGAAGCAAACAGCTCAACCTGCCGTCCTAGTCTGATGTGCTCTGACAGCTGTCACCACCCAAATGCAAAAACGCAGTGGGGTGCTGTACTACAAAGCCCCAACCTCTGTCAAATCAGCAGCAGAACCTTTCTGTAATACAATCATACCCTTAAAGGCCTTGCGTTAGCTGACATTCCTAACAGGTTTCCTGCCAAGCAGTGTGAGCCAAACACCTAATTTCAGTGATAACTTCTTAATAGAGCTGCTTATGGATTCTCACTAGATGAGAGAGGCACATCTCCTCTGACCAACACTACAGCACACAGACTTATGCTTACAGACCAGGCTAACACGCGGTTCTTTTCATTGACTCCCAGGGTCTCACTCAGACAAGCCCCTATTAACGCTGCCTCCTGCCCCGCCAGCCACTCACAGGGAGCATCTGCACCAGAGCGAGCAAAGCCGCCGTAAAAAACAACAGCAGCAACATAAAAAGCCCAGAAACGCTGCTAACGGCACCCGTGACCTAAAAGGACGCTGGAATTTAGCAGAGCTTTTTGTTCTTGCTTGGAAACACGAAGTGGCCTCACTTCACATGGCGGCGGCAGCCCCATCAGCGACTCCTTCAGCAGAGAGTCGGAGGAGGATCACGTTTTCTCCCAAAAGAAACTGCAGGAACCGCGCTCAGCAGCCAGAGCGACCACTTCTCGCCTGCCTGCCCAGCCGCTCCCAGCCCCCCTCGATGCACGGCGGCGGCTGGAGTTGCCCCGGGCCGCACCCTTCACACCACACGGCCCGGCCCGGTCCCGCAACCGCCGCTCACCTTCCCCCAGCGGCCGCGGCTCCGGCTCCAACCCCCGGTCACTCTCGGGGCCCGCTTTTACTCCTTCGCCCACCGCCTCCGCGGAGGCCGGATGCCCGCTGGGCAGCCAGGCTGGGGCGGCTCCCCGCGGGGCGGAGACGGGAGGGGCACCGCGCCCCCGGCGGGAGCGGGGGCGAGGAGATAACGAAGGTGGCGGGAGGCGAAAAGGGAGGAACTCCGCGCCGCCGGGGAGGCGGGAGCCGCCCGGACCGCTGTCCGGCTGCAACGCGCCGCGCTTCCGGCGGGGAGGCCACCGCCACCGCCAGGGGGCGCCGTGATCTCCAGCCCGGCTGGGTTATCGGACCTGCGTCGCGTGTGCGCCGAGCGCGTGGCTGTGGTTGCGGTGCTGCGCTGACGCCGAGCTGTGGCGCCTCGCTTTGTGTCTTTGCTTCTGAGCTTTGTAAGCCAGAGGGATGAACTGGACCTCCGGCGACCTGCTGTGCGGCTTCGTGTCTCATTGCGGTTTGCAAAATTGAGTCCTCTGTGGCGTCACTGTCATTGTCTTAAGTTTGTGATGTTTCCTTCATTACACCGCAGTACCTTGGCTTCTGTCGGCTTCTCTCCTGTTCATAAACTCCCCTCAATACTGGAAGGTCACAATGAGATCTCTCTGGAGCCTTCTCCAGACTGAACAAGCCCAGATCCCTCAGCCTGTCTTCATAGGAGAGGTGCTCCAGCCCTCTGATCATCTTCATGGCCCTCCTGTGGACCTGCTGCAACAGCTCCACATCTTTCTTATGCTGGGAGCTCCAGGCCTGGATGCAGTGCTCGAGATGCAGAGCTGCCTCTCCCACCAACACTTGGAGACAGTGTTTCTCTATGAAAACTCCTTCAGATGACACAGCCTTCATGGTCCCTTGGGGTCAACTACCCAAAAGCAAAGAAGTCCCCACAGGTACCCATTGTAATGTCCAAAATGAACCAGGAGAAAAAAATATATATATATATATTTAATGTATGCCTGCTACGTAATATGCCAGGACAGGAGTAGGAATTCAAACCATAGTCTTACATAGTGCAGTCCAACCGTATATCCATGACATAGCTTTGGCTTTAAGCATAGCTGGAGTCAAGCAGCTTTAGTTCTGATACTCTGCTTCTAAAGTCACTCTGTGCAGTATCTGACTGAATTTAGTATTCCTGAAACTCTGCATTTTGGACATGATGTTTTCAGCATCGTTAACAAAGACCTCAGTGTCTTGCAGCCTTGGATATGATTTCTGGATCTAACTTGCATGTTTAAAAAAAAAGACAAAAACACAAATAAATCTAACAAATAAGGGGATATTGAAGTTACACCAGGCTTGGTTCCAGACATACATGCTCATTTAGCTACTGTACCAGCTGGACTGAAATTTAATAATTTTCAAAACTGCACTGTTTGGCATCAACCTTAGGTAATATCATTTGGCTGCAAACTGCAGATTTTTGTCATGCTTTTTTGACTGCCTTTTACATATATGTAATTTATTGGAATTCTGAGCTGGGGTTCTGCAGTTGTGCATTTTTGTAACTTTATTGTCAAATTTTTTTTTTCAGGGTTTCAGTATTGTGTTTGTCCCCAGTGTAGCATCTTGTAGACTGAGCACAAAATGTTAACAAACAGGATTTCCTTGCATGGTTTATTAAGCAAACTATAGCAAACGTGTTATAAATATGTCTTAGGTTTTAAGGCAAGCAGAGGTCACCTGCATTTACTGTTTTTCTTTTTAATGTATTACAGACAAGGTAATTTGCATTGTAGGGAAGTAATTTGATAGGCAATTAAATTGTATGAAAAGAAGCTCCTCTTTCTGCTAGTTCCTATAATATCAGCTTCAAGTTCTAGTTTCTGCATTAGTGCAGTTCTATATTAGAATTCTATACTGTGAGGTATTCTAACATATTTCTGAGGAAAAATGGTTTAAATTCTTTTTTCATATGAGAAAAATCAGTGTCTTATTCTTTATTCAAAACAAATTACATCTCTAAATGACATATTTGTCATGTCCATCACCTTGAGAACCCAGTAAATACTCTCAAGACAATTGTGTTAGAAGAAAACCTATAGAAATTCAGTTTCAGACACTTCAGATCAGACGCAAATAATATTGGGATGCAGTTATAAGATGAAGAGGCCCAGAAAAGCCTTGAACTTTCTGAACAAACTGTTAAGAGCTGTCTGATATAGAAGATCCAGGCTCAAATCCCTTCTTTGAAAGATAACCGCTGTTTTGGATCACATATCCTCTCTCCAAGACTAGTAGTGCTTTATTCCAAGTTGCAGCACTGTCAGGTACCCGTGCATGTGGAGTCTGAAAGGTTGTATAACATCCAAAATACAGGTGACGGAAGTGTATCAACTGATTGTGCTAACGTGCTTGGAGAATGGAATATGACAGTCAGAGAATGATGCTGTCTCATCCTTCTGCGAAGTTTCTGTGACACAAGGAATGCTTTCAGATCCACTTACTCCTCATTACTATTGCTTCATCATCTGTATTCATTTTAGTATTTGCCCTTTCTTTTAGTTGCTTTTCTCATTTACGTTAAGCTGAGGCTTGGAATTTTAGCTTACATTGTTGGTGTAAGTTACATGAGACTTAATGGTCTGAATTCCTATTCATGTCCAGGCATACTAGTCAGCATCTCAATTTGCTCGAGTTTTGTCTCTGCTGAGAGAAAAATCCTTCTGCTTGCGTACTGCAATTATAGTTAAGCTGTTCAAGTAAACATTCTTGTCTTTGAACAGATCTGAGTTTTTTTCAGGACAAGATTATTTTCTTTTTTCTTAAGGGAAAAAAATTCTCCAAGGTATACTCATCTGTCCATTCTGCTCCCTTCTTCTGATGTGCAAGAAATATTTATGGAGAAGGAATACAGGAAGAGGAGAAGTTTATTTTAATCCAAAGAGTACATTTAGATTTCTAGTGACAGTAGGCATTTTCTTAGATGCTATATAAAATTTTAGGATGTTGAGGGAAAAGATTATGTAGGTATTAAAAGCACAAGAAAAAAATACTGAGGCACAAAAAATAACCTTCCTTCATGTCCAAAGTTAACAGACTTTGTTGCTTTTAATGAATTAATTTTAATGAATTGCACAAAGCTCTCCCACTCCCAACAATAGTAACATCCCCTAGCTTGTAAAAACACATTCTGTTTTACAACAAGATTCAGTATTCTGAAAGCTCTATTAGGAAAATGACACTGCTGGCACATCCACTTTCCAAGCAGCACTGTATCCGTACTGCATGGTGCAATAGTGCATGAATGTACCAACACAGACTTGAAAGTACTACTACATGTATTTGCATAGCACTACACTTAATTGAAGCTCTTTTTTCCCAATTTGAGAGTATAAAACTTTAATTTTTTCATCAAACTGTAGTTAGAATGTGAATCAGGAATTTCTGTCACTGTTAATTTCTTCTCCAGAGTAAGCCAGATTTTTTCATCTTCTAAAAAGGGAGGGGATCTCTCCCTTCACTGTACCAAGGGGATAGAAGACTTCTCTCCATCAGAGCAAAATGTTGGATGCAGGATTCTTACCTTTAAGAACACAGCCATTAAGCTGCTGTGTTGTATAAGTCTAATACCTGGCTTAAAAACAAAACTCTTAAAACCCACAGAACCAGGCGAACCTTTTGAGCCCATTGGATGCATGTAAATATTTGTTTTAGGAACCTGTCACAAACTGGCTGCATGATCTCCGTTTGGGAAATTTTGTACTTGCATTGCCCATTATATGTTAGTTTTCTAATTGAACGGCCCACTCTTCCTGACTTCAAGAATATTCTCAAAGAGCAAGAGAGCTTAAACAGGGGAAATCTTCAAGAGGTTCTTTGTTTTCTTCTGTTGATTATAGAAGCTTGGAAATTAAACTGGTTAAACATCAATTAGTCATCGCTGATGTAGGACATTGTCTTTTACTGCATGCTGTAAAAACAGTAAAATAAACTTAAGTATTCTAATCAGTTTTACAATGCTTATCAAATCTGTCCAATAAAGCCTTCCATATGCTGCCTGGAATTGTTTGATGCTTCTTTATTAGAGCCTGGACTGCAGTCTTTGTCTGAAAAGAGAGGAGAAAGTTGACCTTTACATACCCACTGATATAGAACAGTACAATCACTGGCTTCTTGTCAGTTTTAAGAGGTATTGGGAAATTCACACATAGATCTAATTTAAGAAAAAAAGTTGTCTTTTATATTAGTTAGCTATCCTAACAATGGTTTATTTTGAAATGAAAGGAATAAAAACATTGATTGCAGTTTGGTTAGGCTCAAATTGCTGAGACATATGAAACCTGAGAGTTACTAAGTTCAAGTAGCCTCTACACATACGGATATTAAACTTATGCAACTTCCAGGCTCACTAACCTAGTCTGATTTCATAGCTGGCAGTGTTGAAAACAGGCTTGGGAACTCCATACATCCTTCCCAACATGAATTCTTCTGTAAGTTTATCATATTCAGCATACACGCAGTAAGACACTAACTAAACACTGTTAAAATTTACATAAGGTTCAAATGCAAATTTGTGATGAGAATGCATAAATTCATAGATAATGCAAATTATGTATTTCTGCTACAGATAGAAAATAATCTCTCCTTGTTTTTCTTAACTATTTAAACTCAAGAGAGCCAAATACTACAGTGATCTACTGCAGAGCGATGGCAGTGTGTCATGCTAATATAAGTAAAAGGTAACTAAACTTTTCCTGGCTCTTTCCAAGGCAACATCAGACAGAGGTCAACTAGACCTGACTGAGATAAGCGAGTCAAGTTCCATGGGAACTTTAAATTTCACTTATACAGGTAAACATAATAGCATTCTTCTAAAAGCCAAGAATAAGCATAAATAAAGTCTTAGTACGAGTTTTGCATGCAGCCTCCTAAACTGCTAGGAGCAAACCCTACCTATGATTGCAAGGAGAGCTAACTTACCTTTTCAACCAATTCATCTGTAGTTATATTCGGATCATAAGGTATTGGCTCCCCTATGTATGTGCGAAATTTAACTGGAAGTCCTCCATATGGAGGAGTGAATGGCAATCGAGTACTTTCATACAGTTGTCTGAAAAATCCTGGAGAGAAGGAAAAAGTGAGTTATAGACATAGACAACATAATGCAAGCTTGAAATCTGATGGATTTTGAAGATTCCTTAAAAATGCACACTTCACTTGGCAATCAAGAACAAATGACAGGATTT